AAATGATTGAAAAAAATGACACCTGGACTTTGGTTGACAGACCAAAAAATAAAAACATCATAGGTGTTAAATGGGTATATAGGGTCAAGATGAATCCTGATGGTACCATCAACAAATATAAGGCAAGATTGGTGGTGAAAGGTTACTCTCAATTGGCTGGAATTGATTTTACTAAGACCTTTGCACCTGTAGCAAGACATGAAACTATCAGATTGTTGTTGGCTCTTGCAGCACACAAAGGCTGGAGTGTCTTCCATCTTGATGTCAAATCAGCATTTTTAAATGGAAAATTGGAAGAAGAAATATTTGTTGAGCAGCCAGAAGGGTTTGTGCAAGATGGTGCAGAGAATAGAATGTATTTGCTTAAAAAGGCCCTGTACGGGCTAAAACAAGCTCCTAAGGCTTGGAACAGCAAAATTGATGATCACTTGCTGAGTCTTGGATTTGAGAAGAGTCTAAGTGAGGCTACTCTTTATGTGAAAAAGAAGAATGGAGTACTTGTTATAATCTCCATATATGTTGATGATTTGCTGGTCACAGGAAATGATGAAGCTGCTTTGAATCAGTTCAAGATTGACATGCTGCAAACTTTTGACATGAATGATCTGAGCAAAATGACATATTTTCTTGGTATGGAGATTGATCAGTCCAGCAAAGGCATTTTTATTTGCCAAAGAAATTTTCGGGTGAGATTTTGAGCAAATTTGCCATGTCAGACTGCAGGCCAGTTAGTACTCCTTCTGTGTCAGAAGTTAAATACCAAGCCATTGATGGTTCAGCAAATGTTGATGCAGGGGCATATAGAAGTATGATTGGCAACCTTCTATATTTATCTGCTACCAGGCCTGATATAATGCATGCTGTTAGTTTGCTTTCAAGGTTTATGCATTCACCTACTGAAGTTCATCTCAAGGGTGTTAAAAGAATATTCAGATATTTAAAGGCAACTGCTGGTTTTGGTGTTTTCTACCCTAGAGCTGAGAAAATTAAGTTACTTGGCTTTTGTGACAGTGATTGGGCAGGGTCTGAGGATGATATGAAAAGCACCACTGGTTTTTGTTTCAC